CCTATTGTAAGGTACTTTTCATATGTATGTATCATAGGATCCATTGTAAGAGGTCCRAGGATCGTAAGAGRTCCACGATATCAGAAATAGATTACCTCGCACGGAACAAAGATGTCARTAGATCAGAAYAATAAGAACCCTGTGTAGATTTAGTACTGAGAGCTACACAGGATCTAATCAAAGCTTCTGAAAGCTCATGTCAGAGCGCGAGAATCTTAATCTTATAATTCAATTTTCATACACACTTTAAGAGTACACGTAATCTCGTGCACAGTAATGACGATGAACTCTTAGATGGAGGTTTCTTCGAGTTTCATCTAGTCCCCCCAAGCAGCTGCCGACCACAAAACTGCAGACGTGCAGCCGGTTCGGACAGCTATTTAGCAACAGATGCTACCAGTACAAAAATCCTGGATGCGCAGTACCAGAAGGTGACTCCAGAGCAGGTTGCAGACCAGCAGGAGCATATGAACAGTTCAGAAAGACTAGCATTCACAGAAATGCTAGCCAAGCACACAGAGTTGTTTGATGGCAGACTACTAGGTCGATATCCTCACGAAAAGATCCACATTGATCTTCAGGATAATGCAGAACCAGTTTACATAAGACCATACCCAGTTCCCTACAGACACGCGGGTGTCTTCAAAAGGGAATGCCAGCATCTTGTTGATGAGGGGGTTATTGCTCCCACTGGCAATTCAGAATGGGGCTTCCCGGCCTTTATCATTCCAAAAAAGGATGGACGAGTCAGATGGCTTGTTGATCTCAGAGAATTAAACAAGAGGATCAAGAGACCTCAGTTTAATCTACCCAAAATTCAGGATATCCTGAACAGGAGAACACGATACGATCACTTCACAAAGATTGATCTATCCATGATGTTCTATTGCTTTGAGCTAGATGAGGAGAGCCAGAAAATATGCACCCTCACTACCACACACGGCAACTACAGGTGCCTCAGATTGCCTATGGGATTGAAATCCTCTCCGGATTATGCCCAAGCCTTCATAACCAAGATATTGGTTAATCTTGATGTTGAAGTATATATTGACGATATGGGGATTTGGTCCCAAGAAGGACCCTTCAGCAAACATCTATCTCTAGTAGACCCAGTCCTTCAACGGCTAGCCTCCAATGGGATGAAATGTAACCCTTTGAAGTGTGAATGGGCCGTGAAGGAATCAGATTTCCTTGGATATTGGCTTACCCCTACTGGAGTCAAGCCTTGGCAAAAGAAGGTAGACGGGATTCTAAAAATGGGAATTCCCCAAACTCAATCACAGGTCCGGTCTTTCCTTAGTGCAGTGAACTACTACAAATCCATGTGGCCTCGCCGATCACATGTATTGGCCCCACTAACTGCCCTCACTGGATCCGGTCCTTATGTTTGGACACCTGAGTGTAACCAAGCCTTTCAAGAAATGAAAGCCCTCCTTGCACATGATGCTATAAACACATTTGCCAATCTGAAACAGCACTTTCATATTTACACTGATGCGTCTGATTATCAGCTCGGGGCAGCAATACTCCAGAATGACAGACCAATTGCATATTGGTCTAAGAAACTCAACAAAACCCAAATGAACTACACCACAATGGAAAAGGAGCTCTTAGCTATCATCCTATGCCTCAAAGTATCGCAATATGCTCTACGGTGGCAAAATCTTCATCTTCACTGACCATAAGAACCTTATATTCAGGACGCTGTCCCAGTCCCGAGTTCTCAGATGGAAGCTAAGCCTCGAGGGTTTTGACATTAACTGGGAATATATTCCAGGCAAGAAAAATGTTCTTGCGGATTGTTTTTCCCGAGTGCCCAGAATGGATCAGTGCACTGTGGGGGATAAAGAGAAGAAAATATATGAGAARAAGAAAGGAACAGTGGTGAATTTCAAGGAATTGACAGCCCAAGTGGATCCGGAAGATGTCTTCTACTTGGAACCAGAACTAYAYGAGTGCTTACTCAACTTACCACCAGTATCAGAAATGGAGAACCCAATAACAAATGCAAGCCTCTACACTTATCAGCTCACGGACCCTCAGTGCCAATACCTGCTTGAAACTGATCCAACACACTATGTTAAGAGAAGGATAGGCACCTTTGAGCTACTCACGGTGTCCACGAATGATAATAACTGGAAGATCTACCTGCCTGATGGCCTCGTAGACAAGACCCTCAGATGGTATCACCTACTATTAGGGCATTGTGGTAGCACCCGGCTCTATGAAACTATCAGTGCTCGATTTTATGCCCCACGACTCAGTCTCAGATGCAAGCAACATCATTGCCCAGATGAGTGTTATCGATTCAAACAACAAGGACAGGGGCATGGCTTATTACCAGCTTGTGAGGCGCAGCTTATTCCTTGGAATGAAGTATGTGTGGATTTGATTGGTCCCTGGAAAATCCTTCTCCCGGATGAAACTGAATTAGTGATCAATGCCCTCACTTGCATTGATCCAGTCACTAACCTATTGGAAATCATCAGAATCAACAACAAGTCAAGTGAGCATGT